TGCCTCCAGAACCTCCGCTACCACCACGTAAGAGCAGTTGTAGAAATGCTATTTAATTTAGCTTGGTTTCAAATTTTCGTTAGATTACTGCAATCCATACACCGAAGAATACAGCAACTGCGGAACGATGTGCCCAGAGACGTGCTGGAACAGCGGCACGAATGTGCCGTGTGCTACAATATGCGTCCCGGGTTGCATCTGTAAGCCAGGATTCGTACGAGCTGGGCGAAGCTGCGGCGGGAAGCCGTATGATCAGAGCTGCAATCAGCAACGGACGAACGATCTGATGCCTGTTGGCACATCCGCTGCTTTCCTGTTTGGTCCCTGCATTCCGAGGGCATGGTGCAACGCGACTTATCCGCCAAGGCCTCCAATAAGTAAGATACGTTAGCGCTTCACTATCAGAAATGAAAAGTAATCTGTAGTGCGTTGTCCGTACAACGAACATTACGAGGAATGTGGTACGGCATGTCCAGAGACATGCTTGACACTTGGATCAAATGTGCCATGTCCACTAATCTGCAAATCTGGCTGCTTCTGCAATGATGGATATGTCCGAGCAGGCCAGTCAGTCGGTATGCCGGTTCCTCAGATTCCGCTGATATTTCCTTCAAGCGATTTTGGCAATCATGGACAAGGTCCGTGCGTTCCCATATTCCAGTGCAGTCTCTACACTCCAGGTATGCAAAACTCGCTGCTGTTAGCTATGGTTGTCACTGCTTAATGCGCATGGTTGTCATGATTTCTTAATCGACATACGGCATCTAACAATTCGAAGTCTAAACAAGCACATCGAAAGCCGTATTTATCATGTAATGTATTACGTTTCAGCCACAGAGTGAGCGTATCAAGCATATCATTATAGGACCCTGCACAAATTTACCTGACGGCTTTTACGTGTACGATTTGGCAAAGCCCTGTACAAACCAGTACTTTACGTGCCTCAGTGGAAAGTATGCGAAGCACCAATGTATGAGCGGAATGAGTTTCGACCTCCAAAGCAACATCTGCAAACCTACGTCATGTGTTCCAGCATGCGTGTCTTCCTATAGCCTCAACGGCTGTGGCATTTCAAAGAAGTGAAACATTGAACGAAGAGCTATTTCATACAGTGCATTATTCCTAATAAGCAGCTAGTTAATTTGTCTGTTATCGTTGAGAATAAAATTTATTTAGCACATTATTATTGCAATTGCACAGTAACAAACTGTTCTTGACTTGCAAGCCGACGAATAGATTAGAACTCGCAACCACAAAAAAAGGCGCCAATCCTTCTGACAATAAATCAAACCTCTCGGTTGTTGTAAGCTGTAGTGCTCGCAACCTTGTTAAAAACGCAATCTAGCAGTCTTCAACTTTCATATCGACAGCCGCCCGTTTTGATTTAAAGGATTGCCTTCAAGCCACGTTAACCACTTCACTCTACCTCACCCTCGCATGTGATTTTGTCGTTTAGTTGCCTTTCAGTTTATGCGGCGGATTTATAGCGAGCATACATGCTACCGCTCCCTAAAAGTTTCGCTACGATTTTTCAAAATTATTTAAATGATTTTAAGATAGGATGCAACAACCCTCTTAGCCAAACGGATTTCAGTTTGCGTTCTACAGAACTGACAGTTTCGAATTCATTATGTATATTTAATAGCAGCTATCATCCACAGTTGAAAAGTTGGCCCTGACCTTTGACGAACGTTAACCACTGAATTCTAGTGTGGCAGATTTTAGTTTCTTATCACGTCGTGCACAGATGGAAAACACGAGCTGGGCTGATAAAGGAGTAGCACCAGTTTCCGAAAAGCTTATCAAAATCAGGCTACGTTGGTTCACATACGTGAAAAAAAGACCGATCGAGTACGATGAAGAGGTAGTCCTAACACTGATACTGCCAACGAAGAAAAGAAGACAAAAGAAAAAGTGGCGCAATATCGTCAAGAACGCTGTTGAACCGTGAGGAGTCACTGAAAAGATAACTAACCAAAGATAAAAAAATAAGGAGGAAGTTGACTAAATTAGCAGGCCCATGCTAAAGGAAACATGCTAAGAAAAATAACGATAGGTAGAAAAATCTCATGCAATTTTAGTCGAATAAAATTTTATTGCCATTCACACCTAGTGTGCAAGTCTCAAATCAGCCACAGTCCAGCCTGGCTCTCTTCATCTTCCATCGCCGCTTCTCCTTTCGGCTCGCGGAGGCAGACACGTCAGAGAGAGCTTCCAACGTTCCCCTGGCTAATCAGCCTGGCAAATGAAAAAAATCATAAAATCTTTTCTAAACTGATTTCCTAAATGTGTTGTTACCTTCAACAAGTATGAACAATAAATTTATCCAACAACACTGATTAAAGATCGCTTAGCTTGTGACAAAACAAGAAAAGAGAATAATATTAAAATTGCTGCATTCGAACTGGAGGAAAAGAGAAAAGATAAAGATGGGACTGCTTATTCGTTCTTGAAAGATACGCTCGCACGACACAAACAGTTCATCTGTTTCGAGAAGTTATATTATCGAGAAATTACGTAAGTACATAAATATCAATAGGCTGATTTATTTCACAAGCTGATTCGCATCAAAGTTAGGTCTTCACGCCTTTATCGCAGCCTTCACCTGCGCTTGCTGGAACTGCTGCTGCAATTTACTTAGCGTTTCCTTCAAAGCTTCCTGTTTTGATTCGTAGTCATGCAGAAGTCCTTCCACTCTTTTCCTAAATAAGCAAATTAATGAAAACATGGTATTTTAAGCAATGCTGCTCCCGTCAGTCATTTCTACAACTGGTGCCGTTTCCAGGAAAGGAACACCATCTACATATAGTCTTCGATTCTATATTCGAATTATTCTGATATTCGCAATACAGAACTTGGCTGATGCGTGATAGTTACTGACATACGCCTTACAGGAGGCCTTCACCACATTTTACTGAGATAATCAGGGATTACAGATAAATGCTTAATACTCAGAGTACCTGCGGTTTGCGGTCGACGTTCTGATGCTCTCAAGGTCGCCAGAAGACTCCAAAGAAGAACCACAAAGCAGGGCTGCAAATCAATTAGATACAACTCAGGTAATGTTCAAAAAATACCCAACCCAGTGACCTGCTGAAGTTAATCGACTTAAGTTTGAAGGGACGCAAAATCACATCTGTCTGGGGCAGCTCATCTTACCAACGGAGAACGCAGCCTGTAAAACCAAAGGAAAAGTAAAAATGGCAAGAAACGCTTTTGGAAGGTTGACAATGTCCCTGTGCTTGAAACGAAAAGTTGTCAATCTGTGCTCCCATAACTAACCTATGGATATGAAACATGGACTCTATGCCTGAAAGCTATTCATAAACTGGAGAATACGCAACATTGTATGGAAAGGTGTTTGTTCGGAATAACAAAATAGGCTGAAGAACGAATAAGAGCGCAAACAGTCTAGTGATGGAATTGCCCGAATTCAGAAACTGAAGTAGCAATTGGCAAGACACATTGCAAAAAGAACCGATCATCGCTGGACTAGAGAGACAACAGACCGAGTTCTAAGAGGCGGTAAACGGTCAGACAGATGGCAGGATGAGTTCAAGAAGTTCAGTGGATTAAGAGTGAGAAGAATCACGGAAAATATAAGATTATGGCAAAGTCCTGAAGTAGCTTTCATGCAACAATGGATCGAAAACAACTGTTGCTGATGATGACGAAGTTCTCATCTGTCAAGTTCTGGCACCTACTTACTGAATACTGAAATATATTCAGTTTAAGAAATGGAGGTATAAGCACCATAAAACAAGAAACAAATTCGTGACCAAAAATATTTCACCTAAGTTTCTCTGATGGTAACAGGAATTTAGAAAGGCCAACATTTTGATTTAACCTCACCTAATGGATATTAAGGAAATACTACAATACAATAAAGATAAAAAACTTGTCACTCGCCGGCAAAACAAAATGGAAGTGAAAATGAAACTTTTACGAAGCAACAATTAGCTACATTCGAGACAGCTGCAACAGCTCATATTACCACCTCACTTAACATATGATATTACCACTTCATGCCACTGCTTAAACCGCACAATGAGAGCACTTACATTTCTCCAGTTATGAAATCAATGCGTTTGGACACGGTCTGTACTGCTTCTGCAACTTCTTGCCTTACCAAGGCAGGTCCAATCAATTTAAACACTTTAATGGGCGGTTCCAGTCGTTCCAGTTCCTAAATTTAACAGATTACGAATACAGCAGGTCTACGAAATACCAAGAGGAAAAGGGAACGACAAACGAAACATGCTTCGACAGAACCGTACAACCTCGGAAAGAAAGTTGAGCAACAGTTCCAAATTTAGATCAATCAATTTAGAAGCATACCGAGCACAAGATTTGGAGTAAAATGTTATGCAACAGACTGACTAACGAGCGAGAGTAAATAACTGCCAAAATAACTACAACTTCGATATAACTTGCGTTGAAATTACGATTAAGTTTTCGATTAACGGTTTGACGTATTTTACTGAAGGGAATCTATTTACCTAACCGGTCTCAGTGATTTGCCTTTATGAAAGTTACAGCCTTAAGCATTTTTCGCATGTTCAACGTTACCGAACGATATTATTACACGGTCAAACAAAAGTCATTTCTCAGATTCACGGCTGTTTCACGATCGAATTATTCGCTAGTTTATATGCTAATATAACAAGGAGATAGCTAAACAGGTTCCAAAATGTCATAAAAAGGGAGCCCGATGTAACCGCCCTTTGACATACAGAAACAAAAAGACATACCACAGTGCTAAAAAGCTCGGTTGGGAAGAGTTATGTCATGATCATACTCTCGACAGATGTATCCATATCCCTGATGTGCAAAAGCTTATCAGATGTGTCGGCTCCTGAAACACTGTCGGTGTCGAGAATAGCATTGCCTTAGCCAAGAAAATTATGAACGACGCGTCGCTGCATCGCATGTGACAAAGTGCCATGGAGACACTGCCTGATTAAATAAAGGGTTTGTGTTTCTAGGAGTAATGAACCGACGCAACAATACATTCAGTAGTGGTATAACCCTTACTGATATTCCAAGCATATAAATCCAGTTCCCGATGTTGCTAGCAAGGCATACATAGAATATCAGCTAATGAAAAATCATAGGTAACGAGTAAGGTACTGCTCTAGACAATATAATGACCAGAGATGCATCAAAGAGCAGTAGCCGCTAAAACATCGTGGATCTGTGACTGCTTGAATTTCTCTCTGCGCATACAGTCGTAAAGGAATCATAACAGTGAAACCGAGTGTTCTAAATTTATGCTTGCTGAGATAGCGGATACAGCTATTATTACAGCTATTATTTCACCATTCAGAGAAAAGCTATAAAATGTGTTACATTAAACTAGTTCTAGTAATGGTCCACATTATGGCAGGTCAAACCGTTCAGTTTCTCTACACCGTCTGAGTTCAATACTGGTCTAGTATACTGACTGATATACAAGTAACTGTGTAGTAGATCTTTAAACATTATAACATTCTGCTATAAAACCGTTTCATTCGAGCCACAGAAGTACACAACAATCAGTTTGTCGCAACACAGTTTGAATTTATGAAACACAGTCAGAAATAACCTGGCCTACACATAACTTACCTCTTTCACTATGTTATTTTCTGTAAGCTGTGCTTCAAGCTGTTGCCTGGACCGAAGAAGTTTGTCTATTTCTAAAATAAATTTAGTAAAAGTTAAACGCCGAACGAATCCATACCCTTCTGCAATTCTCGGAATTTGTCAACCTCGGTCTGAAATCTTTTCTGCAAACCTTCAGCCATTGCTTGATCGTCAACTACAGAGATTCTAAAAAGTAGGCTAAAATAGACAGGCATAAACTTAGGCAGCCCCAATCGGTTATGCTCTGTTTAACCTTGGAATGTTCCTAGCAAGAAGATTAAGAACTACACGGTCCTAAATTCGATGAAGTACGAATATAAGCGCGCACAAATTGATGATAACATAACCTTATTATTATATTATCTTAAATCGAGTAAGACTGTAATCCGTGCAGCAGCACAACTTACAAACGATCCGTCTAAATTCGATAGAAAATTCCGATCAGAACCATTCCCCGACCTTCATGAAATTATTCAAGGCAAGCCTATCAATACTGGCAAATGGCAGTATAGACCCTTTTCATGTTAAAACAAAGCATCATTTAGAAGCTAACATGCAATACGGAATGGACATAACGGAGGTAAATTTGTGTTCGAAGAGCTGTCTTTTTTACAATGCTGTTGTTGCATTGCCGTCTAATGGCGCTGTTGAGAAAATGAAGATGCAACGGAAAAGCCTAAGACGTTAAGTAATTACAAACGGTCATGGGTGATTATCACAACGAATACAATCTATTCTGATCCCTTCTAAATTTTAATACGTTTCGTCGAGACTGACATGAAATCAACTACATAGTTCGCTGCCCAATTAGCACCTCTACCAAACTCTAGTTTTAAGCAAGAAATCGGACGCTCTCTAGTCGACCAGAATTGAGCTTTAGAACTTCCCGCAGGACAAAATGGGGCCATGCACAACCAGCAGAAGCGAGATTAGTATTTTTCGACTTTACACTGTTGTGGTAACTGTGCCAGAATTTTGTGCCTGACACGCAGTTAATTCGCACTGAGATGCTGCAAGACTTACATGTTTCCTAGGTAAGGTCTGAGCAGCGAGGTGATTTATTTATCAATATTACTCAAGGAATGTCGAAAATTTTCTCAAAACGTCCATTATAAAGGGATACTTTTAATCAATCGTGCTCCAAAAACTTTATGATTAAGAGGCAAACTGCACAAAACCGCCAAGTAAAAGCTCCGCAAAGTAACTAATTTCATACAAAATTTCACAAAACAAACAGGCAAAACACTGATTAGTTTGCTACACAAAAATATAAACAAAAACCCAGTAATTTATGTTACGTTGTTTAAATACAGTTGTTTCGAATCAATCACAGTGTCAAACAGACTTAGTCCCCACGGCACAGTTTCTACGTCAAAGCGCTTCAATTTCACATGTAATAACCGTATATTCACCAAATTTAGAATGATTTGCAGGATCTTTATAACCATCAAACGTAAGTACTTCGACAAAACGGTTATAATCACCAAATCCAGTTATTTCTGCTACACTCTCTGTGTTAAACTCTCAACTAGTCAAATTTAAGGAAGCAGCACCCACATAATGTGGCTGTCAAGCTGCAACAAAATGACAGCACTATTGCGCGTCGGTAGCCGTCAGTGGGTTGTGCTGCAGCAGATGGACGTTCGTTAGGTGGCCTAACGTTAACTTGCGGGACGAAGTGAATGGAAGCAAGCCGTTTCGCACAATGCAGCGGATTATCCAAGATGTGCAGAAAAATAACGCACAACACGGTTTACTTATACACAACGTAAATGATGCTGTGGTCAGTCCGCGGTAGTCAATAGTTTCTGAGACGGAAGACCTTATGGTCCAACCACGTTGACGAAGCTTCACCAACAACCTACCATGAAACAGGCCCGTAAGACACGAGTCAAAACCTCCGAGTTCGTCAGTCACCAAATTGTAAACTGCGCTTTACGCTATTTTTCAGCTGACGAAGCAAACTTTGTCTACGTTCAGGCATTTCATCGGCTGTTAATACTGTCATAAAATCGCATTGGCAGGTAAAAGCAGAAGCAGATCTACAACTGTTGTAAAGGCCATTCATCGATCATCTTGCCATCTACTAGGAGCGCAGAAAAGACTTAGAACACTGCTTAGTTTAGAGGCCGTTTCAGATTCTTGATCATCACATTAGCTGTCTCTGCGCAGTGAGATC